TGCATTTATCATATCATTTTAGTCTCTAGAACAACCTTATTTGCACACTTTTATATCTTTTCAGGTAAACCGGAGTGGAACGCGCTTTGGGAAGTGTCGGGAAGCATTGGTGAGATTTCGGGACGATCGGCGAAGAACTAAAAAGTTGGAAAAATCAAGTTTGGAATTGGAGTCAGAGAGGTACACGGGGCGTGTTGAATTTACACTGAAAAGTGGGCACGGGGCGTGTTTGACCAAAATGGGAGCTGTTGACCATGCTGAACACGACCCGTGTCAGTTTAGTGCAAATCAACACGGGGCGTGTTGCTGAACACGACCCGTGTCAGTTTAGCCTATTTTAACACGGGCCGTGTTCGACCCAGAAACCAACTTTTGGCAGTTTTTCCTATCTTTCATATTACGGGTTAAGGGTCATTTTTATAGACACACAACATACCAGAGAACCATTGGAGGAGGATTTTCAAAGGTTTTTGCAAGGGTTTGATTAGCAATCATTTCGAAACATTATTTCTAGTATTTTTAAGTTGTAATTGCACTTTAATTCCATCTTTTATTCTTGTGATCTTGTTCTAGCCATGTGTGGCTAGAACACTAATTTCTCCAATTTCATGTTTTGACTTCTTGGTAGTGACTTCATTCATATGACATGATATTTGTTCTTAATTTCTATTTAATGAATTTGATTTTGCTTCAATCGAATGTTTGATTCTAATTATGATTCTTATTGGCCATTTGAATTAGGGTTAGATCATTCAAGTTATCTCTTTTACAAAATCCGTAATTGTTTTGTGAAATTGAACAAGTAACAAGCATTAAATTAATCTCTATTGAATGAATTTGGTGTAAATCTTATTCATACACTTTTACACTCCCGAGCTTATGAGGGGTATTGGGTGTTGTTGGGAACATTCACATAAAGCTTCATGCAATCTTTTAATCTAATCCTAAGAGCTTGTTTAGATTAGGTTAATAAGGTTAGGGTTAATCAAAGAGCTTGTTTTGGTTAATTAATATGGTGAATGAGAAGTGTTAGAGCTTATTAGCACTTTCAAGTACCAACTTATATAGAATTGAATGAATATTGTGTCATCTTGGAGTCACATTCTAAATTGTCATACATGGGGTTGGAGTCCTCACAAATTCTGAATTTAATTCACGCACTTAATTGATTGCTTATGTTTTTAATTATTTGTTTAATCATTACATTCTAAACCCCCCTCTCTTTTTACTATTGGTGACTATAGTACCTTGTGCAAATAGGTATAGACCAATTGTCCTGTGTCTCTGTGGATCGACCCTGCTTGCCTTGTACTACCTTTTAGTGCAATATAGTGGGATTATTTTGGAGTATATCGTACCCCTTTATTTGTTGGGTTTGACACGCCTAACAAATTGGCGCTGTTGTCGGGGACACGGTGTTACTAATTGTTTTATGCCAAGATCTTTTCGTACAGGTACGCCATTGCCAATTGACACGGAGATAGAGAAGACTGCAAAGAAGCTAAGGAAGCAAGCCAAGCTTCGTAAGAAGCAACCGGGTTCCGGGACTTCTTCATCATCTACTCCCCCGGTCATCAACATTTGGGAGGACATACCCCTCTCAAGTGTATCCACATCAGAAACAGAAAGTCTCTCACTCTCATCACAACCATCCTCACCCAACAATACCACTTCACCTTCTTCACCTGTTCATAATATCCTAAACACTTCGCCTACAGAAACATCACCCACTTCTCAAGCCATGGCAGACATCCCTGGAGGAAATCCACCTCCAAACCCACCACCCGAACAAACCCTCCGCCAATGGTCAAGACAAGAGGTTACTCAACAACCTCTTTGTATCACGTATCCAGCTGCCACAAACCTTGAACTAAAATCCGGGCTTATTCACTTACTCCCAACTTTTAGAGGATTGGAGAAAGAAGATCCTCACAAGTTCCTCACCGAGTTCCATGTAGTATGTGTGGGTATGAAACCACACAATGTCACGGAGGATCAGATTAAGCTTAGGGCATTCCCCTTTGCGGTGCAAGATGCAGCCAAAGACTGGCTTTATGACCTCCCACCGGGGACGGTAACTACTTGGGTAGATCTTGCAAGGTTGTTTTTGGATAAGTACTTTCCCGAGATGAAAGCTTCATCCCTACGGAGGGAAATCATTGGAATCAAGCAGCACAAGAGAGAAGCTTTTCACGCATATTGGGATCGATTCAAGAAACTTTGTGCTCGATGCCCAAAGCATGGGATTACCGAATACCAACTCCTCCAATATTTCATTGAAGGAATGACACCAATGGAAAGAAGGCTTCTTAACGCCTCTAGTGGTGCCCGATAAAACCCCAACTGAGATCCGAAATCTAATCAAGAACATGGCTGAAGATTCCAAACATTCAAGCCATGATGAAGAATGGTACACGGATGCACCCCGGGGTGTAAAAGAAGTACAAACTCCTCAGATTGAAGCTCAATTGTCCGAGCTCACGAAAGTAGTCATGATGTTAGCCAAAGACAAAGGTGTGCAGTCCACACCCCGCCCGTGCGGTATTTGCACCCAAGTGGGGCATCCAACTGATATGTGCCCACAACTCCAAGAGGAAGATTATGAAGAAGCAAAAGTCATGGGAGGTTTTCTTGGGTCTAATCAAAGGGGATATGAGCAGCCACGGGGTGATCAAAGATGGAGTAACAATCAAGGTTGGGGAGGACATCAACAGACAAATAATCAACCAAGTCAACCACATCAATACCAGCAAAGACCACCTTTTCCACCACAAAACTTCCAGCCAAGGCAGCCACAACACCCTCCTCAACAATCGGGTTCATCAAGTATGTCCTTAGAGGACATAGTAAAGAGTTTGGCAACTAGTACACAAGCTTTCCAACAAGAGACAAAAGCAAGCATAACGAACTTAGAGAAACAGTTTCACAACTTGCCACTTCTGTAAGCAAATTAGAATCTCAAGGAAAGTTACCTGCACAAACTGAAACAAACCCAAGGCACAATGTGTGTGCCATCACATTGAGAGGCGGAAAGAGCTATGATGGTCCAAAAGTGTCGGTTGATCAAAAGAAAGAAGAAATAGTGGTCGAAGAAGCAACCAAAGAAGAGAAGAAGGAAGAGAAAACAGTCAAAAAGAAGCCCTTCATCACTGAGTCTAAAGCCACACCTGCTCCATTTCCCGAAAGATTAAGGAGCACGAAGAAAGAACGGGAGGAGAGTGAGATCATGCAAATGTTCAAGAGAGTTCAAATCAACATTCCACTCCTCGAGGCCATCAAGCAGGTACCTAGATATGCAAGGTTCCTTAAGGATCTTTGTGTATCTAAAAAGAAATTAAAAGGAAATCAAGTGGTAACAGTTGGGGAGCATGTATCCGCGGTTTTGCAAAAGAGATGCCCCCTAAGTGTAAGGATCCCGGTGTATTTACCATACCTTGCAAATTGGGGAATCTTCATGTACCTCGAGCCATGCTCGATCTAGGTGCATCCGTAAATGTCCTACCATATTCTCTCTTCAAATCAATTGGTGTAGGAACATTGAGCAAAACCGGTGTGATCATCCAACTTGCCGACCGGTCTTTGGTACACCAAAAGGGTGTACTAGATCCAACTTGCCGATCGGTCTTTGGTACACCAAAGGGTGTACTAGAGGATGTGTTAGTGCAAGTCGATGAATTTATCTTCCCGGCTGATTTTTATGTCTTAGATATGGGAGATGATGACTCTCCAAGTTCAAGTTCCATACTTTTGGGTAGACCTTTTCTTAAAACTTCTAAAACAAAAATTGATGTCTACAATGGAACTTTAAGTACGGAATTTGACGGTGAAGTTATCAACTTCAATGTTCAAGAAGAAAAAAAGGTTCCTTCTGATGTTCAATCTGTTAATTTTGTGAATATGATCCACCCATTGGCTGAAAAGAGCTTAAACTCGACTAACAATGATTTTGTGGAGTTAGTCTTGTCACAAAAATTAGACAGGTACAAAGCCGAAGAACTTGCAAAGGAGTGCGGTACAAACGAGGAGGTGCTGGAGATTTTGAAATTCAAGGATGATAAGCACGTGTGGATTGATGGAAGAGAAGTAGAGTCACCCACCACTAAAGCCAAATTCCTTCCACCGGTGGAACAAGCACAAGATTCGAGAGCAACAACTCCACTGGGCCCTATAAAGCAAATACATGTCAAGAAGGAGAGCACTCAACTGGTCATCAACTCAAATAAATTATCAAAGAAGGAAGAGAGTGAGTTGATAACCATGCTGAAAAAATACCAAAAAAGGATGGTGTGGACAATCTCTGATATAAAATGGTTAAGTCCTTTTTGGTTTCTGCGCAAAAAGAAAGCCAAAGGAAGGTTGAAGGTTCCGTTGAAGGAGGTGGCAAGAAGATTGATGTGTTGGAGAGGCCCAAAATACTTAGAACGAAGCATTTGTGGGGGCAAAGTCGAGCCAACGACTTGAAACAATGGCGGCTAACCGGGAGACAACCCGGGGGTATTTCTGTCTTTTACTTAAAAAAATTTCCATTTCTTTGAGTTTTTGGTTTTCAATGTTCCAAATGCATTCAATCATGATTTAAAATCACCAAACGGACCTAGGAATGCAAAAGTATTTCATTTCTAAGAGAGGAAATTTTCAAGTTCAAAAAGTGAGGATTAGCATCCAGGGACCAACACGGGTCGTGTCCCTCTTAGCCTTAATGAAACACGGGCCGTGTTCATGCAAAAAAGTCCCAAATTCTTACAGAGACCAACACGGGTCGTGTCCCATCCTAGCCTTAATGAAACACGGGCCGTGTTCATCCAAAAAAGTCCCAAATTTTTCCAGAGAGCAACACGGGTCGTGTTGTTTTTGGCCTTGACCCAACACGGGTCGTGTTCGTACATAACGCAGCATAAACCCCCCAACACGGGGCGTGTCAATTTAGCCTGGGGAGACACGGGTCGTGTTCGCGCAGCAGTTCAGACCCTTTTTAAAGAAAAAAATCGGGACTTGACCTCATTTATCCCCACTTTCACTTCCTAAAGCCCCTCTCTCCCAACAAAAACCTTAGCTCCGATTTTCATCAAATACCTTTCAATTTCTTCAAGATTTTGACTTTCATCTACAAAAAGGTTTGATTTTCATCATCTACACTTCATCTTCTCCATCTTAAACACCATTTTCTTGCATTTTAATGGTGGATTTGGGGGTTTTGACAAACCCTAGATCCGAAAATTCTCACTTAATTTTGGTGTTTTAGTGTCTCAATCTTGAAAGGGGCAAGCTTGGGGAGGTTAAAGAAGATCTTTTCCATCAAGAACAACACGATCCAACACACGATTCGGTAAATTCTTTCCAACTCCTAACCTTTGAATTTTGTGTTCTTGAGTCAAATACTTGAAAGTGTGGTCTATTTGGACTTGATTCTTAGTTGGAAATCTTTGAAAACAAATTTCCCGCGAAATTTTGGTGGCCAAGTTCAAAGTTGACTGGACCCGTCAACAGTTGACTTTTTGACATTTTGACCCGTTGACTTTTAATCTGTCCCAAACTTGACTATGGAAGCTACATCTTCCAAAAGACCAAGACAAACCAAATCATCCGCCCGCCGTCGGAAGCCTAGATCTCCATCACCTCCATCCAGATCTCCCTCACCTCCATCTAGGTCCCCAACACCCCCAGCCGACCCGTCTCATTTTGGTGTCGTATGTCTTGGCCCAGTTCAACAAGGCAAACTTGAGTCATTCCTTAAACGAGGTCATGCCATCCAAAAATTCACGCATGTTCCAACTTTGAAAGAGTTGCATGTTTACAATCAAGTCAAAACCCTGTTTCGCAACATAGGGTGGCACGGCTTGTTGAGGGTCCATGAATTGAGCTATAAAGTCCCAACTGCTGAGTTTCTATCCTCAGTTTATTTAGATCATGGGATCCTCTACTTCCGTCTAATGAATCAAGACTATGAGCTCTCCTTGGATCAAATCAATGCCATTGTGGGGGCCCCAACGGAAAACACATTTGCCCCACTGATCCAATCCAAGGATACTATGACATGACTTGGTGGACCCAGCTCACCCAATTACATACATATGTCTCTAGCGCTGCTAAAGCCTCATCACTTATCCATCCTGTGATTAAGGTAGCTCACAGAATCATTACTTCGCTCGTCGCCCCTAGAGAGGAGCGAAGCACCATTAGCGCGCTGGAACTTAAAATCCTTTATGCAATGACCCATCCCGAGAATAACCTCATTCCTCATTATGGTCGGTTTCTGTGCCACAAGCTCATCCGCCTTAGCGCATCCCGATCAGGAAAGATTGTTTGCGGGGGTATTGTCAGCATGCTCGCCAAGAGCGCCCACATCCGAGCCCCATACCCCAGTCCCCACCAGCCACTGCCGGGTGAGCCTTATCTCACCACCGCTATCCTTGAGTCCATGCGACTCTTCCGCTCGGCAGGCGATGGTACACACCACTGGACCGTGGGTCAAAATCATGATCCCAAGCTCCTCATCACACCAGAAAATAAAGGCATTCTTGATTTCCGAAATCCCATTCATATGACTGATTGGCAAATCATTCCATACATCTTCCCCCACTCTTATTCCACCGAGGTCGATGAGCAAAGCGAAAAAAACAAGGAAGAAGGTGATGATGATGAAGAAGAGGAGGAGCCTCACCATGCTTCTCCCACCGGTGGTGGCAGCTCATCCCATTTTGCTGCACCCCCGCCTTATCATCAACAATATATGGACGAATTCCAATCAATCCATACCCGCCTCGACACCTATCAGCAGGATATTACCAGCCTGACCCAGAATTTTTCCACCTTCACCACCCAGTACGCTCGGGATCAAGAGCGTCAACGCAAACATGAGGAGGACTTCTGGGCTTGGACCGAAACCCCAGCTACTATCCTCCTCCTCACCTCCGTTTTAGGTTGTTCCACCCTCTCCAAGCATCGGGGACGATGCTTATCTTTAAGCTTGGGGGGGGTAGACTTGTATTTTAGGTTCACTCATTCTCATGCATGCATTTTCTTATTTTCAAATTTTCTTATTTTCAAATTTCATTCAAAAAAAAAAAGTGTACGAGATGATGACACTCTTTACATACAATTGCTCCATGAAATGAAAAATACCGAAGCAACCGGATTGTTACCGGAAGCATAGAATCAGCTGTCATAACTAGGGGACCCAAATATCGTAATTCGAGACCCTACCCTCAGATAATAAAAAAATTATATTGAAACGTTTTTTGGGCGGTAATAACAGCTTTAGGATGATTTGCTTTTGAATGTTTAAAAAGAATCTTTATCGGCAACTTGAACCCACAGAACACGGACCTATTTGTTGACACGCGTTACCCCCGCGGTAACAGAGAGCTTATGTATCAGACCCACACAGTCAAGAATGAAGGAAGGGTAAACTGTCATATCCAGTACCCTAATCAGAATTTCAAATACCAAAACGAAGAAATCTAAAGAAATTCCAAAGATGAAGATTGAAGAATCCAAATTCAAAACGAAGTACAAATCAAAGCTCAATCAAATCAAAAGCCAACTCAAGTCAAATATGGCGAATGAAGAACTGTGTGATATGATACTTGTGGCTCTCGAAAAAGTGAAAGCATAGGAGCTGAGCCCCTTCGGGTGGGCTCACTGTTTCAGCGAAAGCTGATTCGCCGTGACGGGTTCTTAAGGAGGCGTCGATTCTGATTCTTGGCCATTTAGTCTTAAGGACATGAAATCCGGACTATGTTATTTTCGCCCATAAAGCTTAGTAAGGTATAAAGATTAAATAAAACTTTGGTTGGATTATTGGGTTACACCGTTTCGGGTCTTCCTCACATTGAGAGTCTGTGATATGTGGAAGGAAACAGGATGGTTGCCAAGGTATCAATGATCGAAGCCCTATTGATGTAAAGTCTGATCGTACCTTTATTTAGTTACAAAAGTACATATTTTGTGTTTGTTCTTAATTTTCTTTTCTTTTGCTTCATTTTGTTTCTCAGGTGCATTTTGAACATATTTTCATGGCATTGCATTGCATGCATTCATTCTTAACCTTTAGGATCCTTCATCCCCTTTTCGTTCTAAGTTTTTCTTTTTGCCATCTAGAAATCGTCCTGTTGTCCGGTTCTTGTTCTTTCTTGAGGACAAGAAAGGTCTAAGCTTGGGGAGATTTGTTAGGTGCTATTTGTGCACCTTTTTGCACACCTTTTAGTCCATTTTATGCATATATTTAGCACAATTGTTCTTCCTTTTCCTTGCATTTTATCATATTCATTTTAGTCTCTAGAACAACCTTATTTGCACACTTTTATATCTTTTTCAGGTAAACCGGAGGTTGGAACGCGCTTTGGGAAGTGTCGGGAAGCATTGGTGGAGATTTCGGGACGATCCGGCGAAGAACTAAAAAGTTGGAAAAATCAAGTTTGGAATTGGAGTCAGAGAGGTACACGGGGCGTGTTGAATTTACACTGAAAAGTGGGCACGGGGCGTGTTTGACCAAAATGGGAGCTGTTGACCATGCTGAACACGACCCGTGTCAGTTTAGTGCAAATCAACACGGGGCGTGTTGCTGAACACGACCCGTGTCAGTTTAGCCTATTTTAACACGGGCCGTGTTCGACCCAGAAACCAACTTTTGGCAGTTTTTCCTATCTTTCATATTACGGGTTAAGGGTCATTTTTATAGACACACAACATACCAGAGAACCATTGGAGGAGGATTTTCAAAGGTTTTTGCAAGGGTTTGATTAGCAATCATTTGGAAACATTATTTCTAGTATTTGTAAGTTGTAATTGCACTTTAATTCCATCTTTTATTCTTGTGATCTTGTTCTAGCCATGTGTGGCTAGAACCCTAATTTCTCCAATTTCATGTTTTGACTTCTTGGTAGTGACTTCATTCATATGACATGATATTTGTTCTTAATTTCTATTTAATGAATTTGATTTTGCTTCAATCGAATGTTTGATTCTAATTATGATTCTTATTGGCCATTTGAATTAGGGTTAGATCATTCAAGTTATCTCTTTTACAAAATCCGTAATTGTTTTGTGAAATTGAACAAGTAACAAGCATTAAATTAATCTCTATTGAATGAATTTGGTGTAAATCTTATTCATACACTTTTACACTCCCGAGCTTATGAGGGTATTGGGTGTTGTTGGGAACATTCACATAAAGCTTCATGCAATCTTATAATCTAATCCTAAGAGCTTGTTTAGATTAGGTTAATAAGGTTAGGGTTAATCAAAGAGCTTGTTTTGGTTAATTAATATGGTGAATGGAAGTGTTAGAGCTTATTAGCACTTTCAAGTACCAACTTATATAGAATTGAATGAATATTGTGTCATCTTGGAGTCACATTGCTAAATTGTCATACATGGGGTTGGAGTCCTCACAAATTCTGAATTTAATTCACGCACTTAATTGATTGCTTATGTTTTTAATTATTTGTTTAATCATTACATTCTAAACCCCCTCTCTTTTTACTATTGGTGACTATAGTACCTTGTGCAAATAGGTATAGACCAATTGTCCTGTGTCTCTGTGGATCGACCCTGCTTGCCTTGTACTACCTTTTAGTGCAATATAGTGGGATTATTTTGGAGTATATCGTACCCCTTTATTTGTTGGGTTTGACACGCCTAACAAATTGGCGCTGTTGTCGGGGACACGGTGTTACTAATTGTTTTATGCCAAGATCTTTTCGTACAGGTACGCCATTGCCAATTGACACGGAGATAGAGAAGACTGCAAAGAAGCTAAGGAAGCAAGCCAAGCTTCGTAAGAAGCAACCGGGTTCCGGGACTTCTTCATCATCTACTCCCCCGGTCATCAACATTTGGGAGGACATACCCCTCTCAAGTGTATCCACATCAGAAACAGAAAGTCTCTCACTCTCATCACAACCATCCTCACCCAACAATACCACTTCACCTTCTTCACCTGTTCATAATATCCTAAACACTTCGCCTACAGAAACATCACCCACTTCTCAAGCCATGGCAGACATCCCTGGAGGAAATCCACCTCCAAACCCACCACCCGAACAAACCCTCCGCCAATGGTCAAGACAAGAGGTTACTCAACAACCTCTTTGTATCACGTATCCAGCTGCCACAAACCTTGAACTAAAATCCGGGCTTATTCACTTACTCCCAACTTTTAGAGGATTGGAGAAAGAAGATCCTCACAAGTTCCTCACCGAGTTCCATGTAGTATGTGTGGGTATGAAACCACACAATGTCACGGAGGATCAGATTAAGCTTAGGGCATTCCCCTTTGCGGTGCAAGATGCAGCCAAAGACTGGCTTTATGACCTCCCACCGGGGACGGTAACTACTTGGGTAGATCTTGCAAGGTTGTTTTTGGATAAGTACTTTCCCGAGATGAAAGCTTCCACCCTACGGAGGGAAATCATTGGAATCAAGCAGCACAAGAGAGAAGCTTTTCACGCATATTGGGATCGATTCAAGAAACTTTGTGCTCGATGCCCAAAGCATGGGATTACCGAATACCAACTCCTCCAATATTTCATTGAAGGAATGACACCAATGGAAAGAAGGCTTCTTAACGCCTCTAGTGGTGGATCTTTGCCCGATAAAACCCCAACTGAGATCCGAAATCTAATCAAGAACATGGCTGAAGATTCCAAACATTCAAGCCATGATGAAGAATGGTACACGGATGCACCCCGGGGTGTAAAAGAAGTACAAACTCCTCAGATTGAAGCTCAATTGTCCGAGCTCACGAAAGTAGTCATGATGTTAGCCAAAGACAAAGGTGTGCAGTCCACACCCCGCCCGTGCGGTATTTGCACCCAAGTGGGGCATCCAACTGATATGTGCCCACAACTCCAAGAGGAAGATTATGAAGAAGCAAAAGTCATGGGAGGTTTTCTTGGGTCTAATCAAAGGGGATATGAGCAGCCACGGGGTGATCAAAGATGGAGTAACAATCAAGGTTGGGGAGGACATCAACAGACAAATAATCAACCAAGTCAACCACATCAATACCAGCAAAGACCACCTTTTCCACCACAAAACTTCCAGCCAAGGCAGCCACAACACCCTCCTCAACAATCGGGTTCATCAAGTATGTCCTTAGAGGACATAGTAAAGAGTTTGGCAACTAGTACACAAGCTTTCCAACAAGAGACAAAAGCAAGCATAACGAACTTAGAGAAACAGGTTTCACAACTTGCCACTTCTGTAAGCAAATTAGAATCTCAAGGAAAGTTACCTGCACAAACTGAAACAAACCCAAGGCACAATGTGTGTGCCATCACATTGAGAGGCGGAAAGAGCTATGATGGTCCAAAAGTGTCGGTTGATCAAAAGAAAGAAGAAATAGTGGTCGAAGAAGCAACCAAAGAAGAGAAGAAGGAAGAGAAAACAGTCAAAAAGAAGCCCTTCATCACTGAGTCTAAAGCCACACCTGCTCCATTTCCCGAAAGATTAAGGAGCACGAAGAAAGAACGGGAGGAGAGTGAGATCATGCAAATGTTCAAGAGAGTTCAAATCAACATTCCACTCCTCGAGGCCATCAAGCAGGTACCTAGATATGCAAGGTTCCTTAAGGATCTTTGTGTATCTAAAAAGAAATTAAAAGGAAATCAAGTGGTAACAGTTGGGGAGCATGTATCCGCGGTTTTGCAAAAGAGTATGCCCCCTAAGTGTAAGGATCCCGGTGTATTTACCATACCTTGCAAATTGGGGAATCTTCATGTACCTCGAGCCATGCTCGATCTAGGTGCATCCGTAAATGTCCTACCATATTCTCTCTTCAAATCAATTGGTGTAGGAACATTGAGCAAAACCGGTGTGATCATCCAACTTGCCGACCGGTCTTTGGTACACCAAAAGGGTGTACTAGATCCAACTTGCCGATCGGTCTTTGGTACACCAAAAGGGTGTACTAGAGGATGTGTTAGTGCAAGTCGATGAATTTATCTTCCCGGCTGATTTTTATGTCTTAGATATGGGAGATGATGACTCTCCAAGTTCAAGTTCCATACTTTTGGGTAGACCTTTTCTTAAAACTTCTAAAACAAAAATTGATGTCTACAATGGAACTTTAAGTACGGAATTTGACGGTGAAGTTATCAACTTCAATGTTCAAGAAGAAAAAAAGGTTCCTTCTGATGTTCAATCTGTTAATTTTGTGAATATGATCCACCCATTGGCTGAAAAGAGCTTAAACTCGACTAACAATGATTTTGTGGAGTTAGTCTTGTCACAAAAATTAGACAGGTACAAAGCCGAAGAACTTGCAAAGGAGTGCGGTACAAACGAGGAGGTGCTGGAGATTTTGAAATTCAAGGATGATAAGCACGTGTGGATTGATGGAAGAGAAGTAGAGTCACCCACCACTAAAGCCAAATTCCTTCCACCGGTGGAACAAGCACAAGATTCGAGAGCAAAAACTCCACTGGGCCCTATAAAGAAAATACATGTCAAGAAGGAGAGCACTCAACCGGTCATCAACTCAAATAAATTATCAAAGAAGGAAGAGAGTGAGTTGATAACCATGCTGAAAAAATACCAAAAAAGGATGGTGTGGACAATCTCTGATATAAAATGGTTAAGTCCTTTTTGGTTTCTGCGCAAAAAGAAAGCCAAAGGAAGGTTGAAGGTTCCGTTGAAGGAGGTGGCAAGAAGATTGATGTGTTGGAGAGGCCCAAAATACTTAGAACGAAGCATTTGTGGGGGCAAAGTCGAGCCAACGACTTGAAACAATGGCGGCTAACCGGGAGACAACCCGGGGGTATTTCTGTCTTTTACTTAAAAACAATTTCCATTTCTTTGAGTTTTTGGTTTTCAATGTTCCAAATGCATTCAATCATGATTTAAAATCACCAAACGGACCTAGGAATGCAAAAGTATTTCATTTCTAAGAGAGGAAATTTTCAAGTTCAAAAAGTGAGGATTAGCATCCAGGGACCAACACGGGTCGTGTCCCTCTTAGCCTTAATGAAACACGGGCCGTGTTCATGCAAAAAAGTCCCAAATTCTTACAGAGACCAACACGGGTCGTGTCCCATCCTAGCCTTAATGAAACACGGGCCGTGTTCATCCAAAAAAGTCCCAAATTTTTCCAGAGAGCAACACGGGTCGTGTTGTTTTTGGCCTTGACCCAACACGGGTCGTGTTCGTACATAACGCAGCATAAACCCCCCAACACGGGGCGTGTCAATTTAGCCTGGGGAGACACGGGTCGTGTTCGCGCAGCAGTTCAGACCCTTTTTAAAGAAAAAAATCGGGACTTGACCTCATTTATCCCCACTTTCACTTCCTAACAGCCCCTCTCTCCCAACAAAAACCTTAGCTCCGATTTTCATCAAATACCTTTCAATTTCTTCAAGATTTTGACTTTCATCTACAAAAAGGTTTGATTTTCATCATCTACACTTCATCTTCTCCATCTTAAACACCATTTTCTTGCATTTTAATGGTGGATTTGGGGGTTTTGACAAACCCTAGATCCGAAAATTCTCACTTAATTTTGGTGTTTTAGTGTCTCAATCTTGAAAGGGGCAAGCTTGGGGAGGTTAAAGAAGATCTTTTCCATCAAGAACAACACGATCCAACACACGATTCGGTAAATTCTTTCCAACTCCTAACCTTTGAATTTTGTGTTCTTGAGTCAAATACTTAAAGTGTGGTCTATTTGGACTTGATTCTTAGTTGGAAATCTTTGAAAAACAAATTTCCCGCGAAATTTTGGTGGCCAAGTTCAAAGTTGACTGGACCCGTCAACAGTTGACTTTTTGACATTTTGACCCGTTGACTTTTAATCTGTCCCAAACTTGACTATGGAAGCTACATCTTCCAAAAGACCAAGACAAACCAAATCATCCGCCCGCCGTCGGAAGCCTAGATCTCCATCACCTCCATCTAGATCTCCATCACCTCCATCTAGGTCCCCAACACCCCAGCCGACCCGTCTCATTGTGGTGTCGTATGTCTTGGCCCAGTTCAACAAGGCAAACTTGAGTCATTCCTTAAACGAGGTCATGCCATCCAAAAATTCACGCATGTTCCAACTTTGAAAGAGTTGCATGTTTACAATCAAGTCAAAACCCTGTTTCGCAACATAGGGTGGCACGGCTTGTTGAGGGTCCATGAATTGAGCTATAAAGTCCCAACTGCTGAGTTTCTATCCTCAGTTTATTTAGATCATGGGATCCTCTACTTCCGTCTAATGAATCAAGACTATGAGCTCTCCTTGGATCAAATCAATGCCATTGTGGGGGCCCCAACGGAAAACACATTTTGCCCCACTGATCCAATCCAAGGATACTATGACATGACTTGGTGGACCCAGCTCACCCAATTACATACATATGTCTCTAGCGCTGCTAAAGCCTCATCACTTATCCATCCTGTGATTAAGGTAGCTCACAGAATCATTACTTCGCTCGTCCCCCTAGAGAGGAGCGAAGCACCATTAGCGCGCTGGAACTTAAAATCCTTTATGCAATGACCCATCCCGAGAATAACCTCATTCCTCATTATGGTCGGTTTCTGTGCCACAAGCTCATCCGCCTTAGCGCATCCCGATCAGGAAAGATTGTTTGCGGGGGTATTGTCAGCATGCTCGCCAAGAGCGCCCACATCCAAGCCCCATACCCCAGTCCCCACCAGCCACTGCCGGGTGAGCCTTATCTCACCACCGCTATCCTTGAGTCCATGCGACTCTTCCGCTCGGCAGGCGATGGTACACACCACTGGACCGTGGGTCAAAATCATGATCCCAAGCTCCTCATCACACCAGAAAATAAAGGCATTCTTGATTTCCGAAATCCCATTCATATGACTGATTGGCAAATCATTCCATACATCTTCCCCCACTCTTATTCCACCGAGGTCGATGAGCAAAGCGAAAAAAACAAGGAAGAAGGTGATGATGATGAAGAAGAGGAGGAGCCTCACCATGCTTCTCCCACCGGTGGTGGCAGCTCATCCCATTTTGCTGCACCCCCGCCTTATCATCAACAATATATGGACGAATTCCAATCAATCCATACCCGCCTCGACACCTATCAGCAGGATATTACCAGCCTGACCCAGAATTTTTCCACCTTCACCACCCAGTACGCTCGGGATCAAGAGCGTCAACGCAAACATGAGGAGGACTTCTGGGCTTGGACCTGAAACCCCAGCTACTATCCTCCTCCTCGACCTCCGTTTTAGGTTGTTCCACCCTCTCCAAGCATCGGGGACGATGCTTATCTTTAAGCTTGGGGTGGGTAGACTTGTATTTTAGGTTCACTCATTCTCATGCATGCATTTTCTTATTTTCAAATTTCATTCAAAAAAAAAAGTGTACGAGATGATGACACTCTTTACATACAATTGCTCCATGAAATGAAAAATACCGAAGCAACCGGATTGTTACCGGAAGCATAGAATCAGCTGTCATAACTAGGGGACCCAAATATCGTAATTCGAGACCCTACCCTCAGATAATAAAAAAAATTATATTGAAACGTTTTTTGGGCGGTAATAACAGCTTTAGGATGATTTGCTTTTGAATGTTTAAAAAGAATCTTTATCGGCAACTTGAACCCACAGAACACGGACCTATTTGTTGACACGCGTTACCCCCGCGGTAACAGAGAGCGTATGTATCAGACCCACATAGTCAAGAATGAAGGAAGGGTAAAACTGTCATATCCAGTACCCTAATCAGAATTTCAAATACCAAAACGAAGAAATCTAAAGAAATTCCAAAGATGAAGATTGAAGAATCCAAATTCAAAACGAAGTACAAATCAAAGCTCAATCAAATCAAAAGCCAACTCAAGTCAAATATGGCGAATGAAGAACTGTGTGATATGATACTTGTGGCTCTCGAAAAAGTGAAAGCATAGGAGCTGAGCCCCTTCGGGTGGGCTCACTGTTTCAGCGAAAGCTGATTCGCCGTGACGGGTTCTTAAGGAGGCGTCGATTCTGATTCTTGGCCATTTAGTCTTAAGGACATGAAATCCGGACTATGTTATTTTCGCCCATAAAGCTTAGTAAGGTATAAAGATTAAATAAAACTTTGGTTGGATTATTGGGTTACACCGTTTCGGGTCTTCCTCACATTGAGAGTCTGTGATATGTGGAAGGAAACAGGATGGTTGCCAAGGTATCAATGATCGAAGCCCTATTGATGTAAAGTCTGATCGTACCTTTATTTAGTTACAAAAGTACATATTTTGTGTTTGTTCTTAATTTTCTTTTCTTTGCTTCATTTTGTTTCTCAGGTGCATTTTGAACATATTTTCATGGCATTGCATTGCATGCATTCATTCTTAACCTTTAGGATCCTTCATCCCCTTTTCGTTCTAAGTTTTTCTTTTTGCCATCTAGAAATCGTCATGTTGTCCGGTTCTTGTTCTTTCTTGAGGACAAGAAAGGTCTAAGTTTGGGGAGATTTGTTAGGTGCTATTTGTGCACCTTTTTGCACACCTTTTAGTCCCATTTTATGCATATATTTAGCACAATTGTTCTTCCTTTTCCTTGCATTTTATCATATTCATTTTAGTCTCTAGAACAACCTTATTTGCACACTTTTATATCTTTTTCAGGTAAACCGGAGGTTGGAACGCGCTTTGGGAAGTGTCGGGAAGCATTGGTGGAGATTTCGGGACGATCCGGCGAAGAACTAAAAAGTTGGAAAAATCAAGTTTGAAATTGGAGTCAGAGAGGTACACGGGGCGTGTTGAATTTACACTGAAAAGTGGGCACGGGGCATGTTTGACCAAAATGGGAGCTGTTGACCATGCTGAACACGACCCGTGTCAGTTTAGTGCAAATCAACACGGGGCGTGTTGCTGAACACGACCCGTGTTAGTTTAGCCTATTTTAACACGGGCCGTGTTCGACCCAGAAACCAACTTTTGGCAGTTTTTCCTATCTTTCATATTACGGGTTAAGGGTCATTTTTATAGACACACAACATACCAGAGAAACCATTGGAGGAGGATTTTCAAAGGTTTTTTGCAAGGGTTTGATTAGCAATCATTTGGAAACATTATTTCTAGTATTTGTAAGTTGTAATTGCACTTTAATTCCATCTTTTATTCTTATGATCTCCGTTCTAGCCATGTGTGGCTAGAACCCTAATTTCTCCAATTTCATGTTTTGACTTCTTGGTAGTGACTTCATTCATATGACATGATATTTGTTCTTAATTTCTATTTAATGAATTTTGATTTTGCTTCAATCGAATGTTTGATTCTAATTATGATTCTTATTGGCCATTTGAATTAGGGTTAGATCATTCAAGTTATCTCTTTTACAAAATCCGTAATTTTTTTGTGAAATTGAACAAGTAACAAGCATTAAATTAATCTCTATTGAATGAATTTGGTGTAAATCTTATTCATACACTTTTACACTCCCGAGCTTATGAGGGGTATTGGGTGTTGTTGGGAACATTCACATAAAGCTTCATGCAATCTTATAATCTAATCCTAAGAGCTTGTTTAGATTAGGTTAATAAGGTTAGGGTTAATCAAAGAGCTTGTTTTGGTTAATTAATATGGTGAATGAGAAGTGTTAGAGCTTATTAGCACTTTCAAGTACCAACTTATATAGAATTGAATGAATATTGTGTCATCTTGGAGTCACATTGCTAAATTGTCATACATGGGTTGGAGTCCTCACAAATTCTGAATTTAATTCACGCACTTAATTGATTGCTTATGTTTTTAATTATTTGTTTAATCATTACATTCTAAACCCTCCTCTCTTTTTACTATTGGTGACTATAGTACCTTGTGCAAATAGGTATAGACCAATTGTCCTGTGTCTCTGTGGATCGACCCTGCTTGCCTGGTACTACCTTTTAGTGCAATATAGTGGGATTATTTTGGAGTATATCGTACCCCTTTATTTGTTGGGTTTG